TGGTCTCCCACAAACACAGCCATTTCTGAAGGTGCTGGTGATGACTTCACCCCCAAGCACAATCCCCACTGCCACCCACACCACCCAGGGAGCCACACCTGCCTGCGCATGCTGGCACCATGTGCTTGTGTGACCACACGCCAGTCCCCACCAGGAAGTGTCTCCCGCCGCCTGGGCCTGGGCCTGTCCCTTTGGGAGGAACCTGTGCTCCAGAGAGGAGGGGAAGAGGGGCATGCTTGCTGCACTGTGTTTTGCTCTCTAGCCACCTGTCCTCCCCTTCAGTGTCCGACCTGTCATTCAAAGCCTCAGTCTCCCCTGGGCAGCAGCTGCCACAGAAAGATGCATGGACTCAGACATCAGAGAAGATAGACGCTTCCTGTCACCAGTAGGACAGAAGGTTAAGGAATCTGAAGGGTTTGCAAAACGAGGCCTGCTGTTTTTGAAAGTAAAGCCTCACTGGACAATGTCGTACACTTTCTGGGACTGCTTCTGTGCTACAACGACAGAGGTGAGTAGTTGCGGCAGACTGCAAGGCCCGGAATGCCTGCTGCAGCCTCCGGTCCTCTCCAGGAGACGACCGCGGCTGTGGGGCTCAGGCACCGCTCCGTACATCTTCGCGTCCTAACGCCCGAGTGGGGTCTGTCTGCGAGGCCCACAGGGGCAGAGTGGTGAGGCTGTGTGCAGTCAGACACTTTGCCCTGGACACTTCTGGCCACCCAAAGGTGGGTGAAATCGGTGTCTTGATATAACTTTAACCCTTCCAAAGCTCTGATCGAAGCCTGCAAACCCCAGCTGTTCCTGAGTTCTAGTCCCAAGCATAGCTGTAGAAAGAGGTGCAGGGCCCACCCTCCTCACTGGGGTGGTGCCTCTGTGGTAGTCTTGCCTAGCATGGCTCCGTCAGCTCTGTCCCTTCAGAAACAAAGGTGGGCACTCACTGACCCACTAACACCAGTGGGTTCCAGCCAGCACCGGGAAGGGAGGAAGGGAGGGAAGACCCCATCCTGGTCCCTCTGGTGTGCCAGTGCCGTGCCTACCATGAAGAAGCGGAGGTGGCACACTGACCCAAAACTGACACCCAAAGCAAACCCTCACCAATCTGTTTTAGCTTTAGCTTTCTCCCTTCTTAAATAACCCTAAAGAAAGCTTGCACCTTCCCATGGGCTAATGACCATGTCCCACAGATGCCAAACCCAAGAGGACTCATTGCCAGCCTTGGCCCAGTTTAAAAAACAATTGTTAGGCATGGTGGCACACACTTATAATCCCTGCACACTGGAGGCTGAGGCAGGAGAATCACTGTGAGTTTGAGGCCAGCCTGGGCTACACAATGAGTTCAAGGCCAGGCTAGACCACGTAGTGAGACCCTGTATGTTTTGGGGGTGGAGAGGGACCATGACAGGACCAAAAACATTTTACAAACTTAAGCAGTACCTGTCACTGCCCAGACACCCACGGGAACAATAAAGATGCTGGCTGACTGGCCACACATCTCTCTGCCCAGTGCCAGGAGAGATGCTTCCCGCCACAGCCCTGCCTGTAGCTCAGTGGAGAGGCCCCACGACACCCCAACACCTATGTGTGCTGTCGGTACCCTTCTTGCCCCCACAGCTTGGTCGGAGACACCACTGCTAGCCCCACCGCTCCCGGGGCAGTGTTCTGGGAGAAGAACTCTGCAGTCCTCCGCCCTAGTGGCTACTGTCATTGCCCGGCCTGGGGCCGGGTGCCCGGCTTAGCCCAGCAGAGCTTCCCCGGCCATGCAGAGACCTTGCTCCTGCCTCCACCTCTGCCGCAGCCCCCTCGGCCCCCGCATCCTCACCTGGGCATTGGCACTGTTTCTTCCTCGTCGGTCCTCACGCTGACTGACCCTCCAGAGCTCTAACAGTGAAGGACGACGGGATCCCACACCAAAGGGCCCGAGTCACGCACTCCGCCGGCCATCTCACCCTGCCAACCGCCCCGGTCCCAAGCCAGCGCTTCACGCTGCCCAGGGCACTGAGCCTTTCTGTGCACCAGGACCTCCCCTGCTGAGGTCCCCTGCCCAGCTCCGTACCACCCACACGAGAAACCTGGGCCACTAGGATCTGAGCTGTTGGAAATGTGAGTGACTCAGCTCTAATCCCTTCCTAGCCCGCATGTCATCTCCAGGGCCTGGCTCTTCTGCACGGCAGGGAGACCTGGCAAGGGACTTAGGCTGCGGTGCCGCATCCCCGGCCCCAGGAGCGAAGCCACTGATGTGGCTCTCACCACAGATGATTCCGATTCTTTTCAAATGCCTTCCCCGTCCCTACACGCCCCACCTTAGCATGGTCTCCCTTCTCCTCGGCTCCTGAAGCTCAGCTTTTCATGGTTTCCCCCAACTGCGCCTTGGCCTGTGACACAGGGCCAGGCAGAAAGCCGCAGGTAACACTGAGTGTCTTCTCCATCCATTTACCCGAGCAGGGAGACGAGGTCTCAGCAATATCCGCAGTCAATCAGAGGCCAACCAACCCAAACGGAAGAAGTTCCTCTACACCACCCAGATCACGCACTCCCTGTATACAAGCAGCAGCCTGGAGCTCACTTTCTGCCCACCCGGCTCCCCCAAGGCCATTCCACCTACTCCCAGGAGAGGCACATTCTAGGCCAAGTGCCCAGCACACTCCTGGTAACTCTTTACCCTTCTGGAACCCCAGACACTAAGTAAATATAACCCTTTAATACATCTAACAGGAGCATCTAGGCTCGCCCCGGGCCTGCCCTTCACTAGCCTCAATACCCGGGTCCTGTGATCTTATTTTGAGGCCCCTTCAGCTTTCCCGAGTTCCTAGGGAGCCAACTTCCACAGCTTTTCACCTCGTGAATGATGCGCTCCACGGGGCTTCCAAGGGCACAAGGGTTTTGTGAAGTGGGGCAAATCCTGAGATTATCTACATGACACAAGAATCAAGAAGGGCGTGCACCCAAATGCTCTGGAAAGAAGTCACTGTGAGTGTGACCTCTTGGCCCTGTCTCAAGACCTAACCAGGATGGGCCAAAACCCAAGTGCAGAGGAGGCTGACCTTAAAAACTGTACCCAGCGTTGTGTCCCCCAGCCTCTCCAGGCTGAGTAGTTCTCCAAGCAGCAATTACTGAATTTGCACTTTATTACACACAAGGTCAGTTATGGTGCGAAGCTTCCCACAGGGTCTGCGCAAACAAGACTTGAATGTGCAGCTTGCCCGTACCAGGCTGCCAGCCCCAGGCACCCTGTCCTGGAGCAAGCCAACCCACTGTTCTTCCAAAGGAACTCAAGAAAGAACGAGCCCAGGAGTCCAAAGTCTCGGCAGAGAGAAGGCCCAGGGAAAGGTGGGTCAGGTTTTGCTCACTTGGAGTCACGCAGGACACATCTCGACTGAGAGAAAGGTGAGCGGCATGCGGCCGAGGGAGGAGCGCACAGCTGCTCTTGAATGACAGCGTTGAGCACGGGTGCTGAACACAGCGGCATCGCTGTCCATGGGCTCCGCCGGGGGGACACTGGGCTGTGCGTCTGGGGCAGGTCACTTTCCCCAAGCCCCATTTCCTCATCTACCGGAGGGAAAAACTTGCAAGAACCCACAGCTGCAGAGTTCAAAACAATCTCTAAGAAAGGGCTACTGTTAACCCTCAAAGAAGCATATGAAATGTTACTTCCTCTGCGTGGTTAAAAACCCACTAATTAGGAGCCACAGTGTTTTGCCACAAACAAGCGGAGTGGTTTGGAGAGATCTACTCGTCTCAATTTCCCTGTCTAGAGAGCAAGACCGACAACCCTCACACTGCTCCTGCTCGGAGTCACCAGCAGGGCAGGAAATGGAGCCAGGGGTAGACAGGGCTCTGCTGCGCTGTGCTCTACCCAGGCCACAGCTCACACGCCCCCGCTCTCAGTGCGCTAGAACTTGCCTTAGAGAAGCTTCGTTTTTGCTGTTCCCCTCCCGGACAGCAGCACCATTGCTCAGAAGAACTGTCAGCTGTCACAGACAGTGATGTTTAGGCCGGGTGAGGAATGAATACCCTTCCCTGAAAAGGATTCTGTGTCCATCACCACATCCAGCTGCCCCGAAGCAGAGACCCAGTTGGTCTTAATCGGCCAAGGAGCCGGGATGTGGTTCGCAGACCATAGAGCTCTCTAAGCTGGCCTCAGCTCGCACAGGTCCCACACGAGGAAGACTCGCGCTCCAGGCTGGGCAGTCTGCCCTGAGGCCACGCTAAGCAAAACTCCTGCATGAAGGACGGGCCTTCCAATCTGCCACTGTCCCAGTCTCTCTTCATACCTGCCCAGGGGCAGCCCCAACATGCACCCCAAGCCTGGGCTGCAGCCTCACGGGCCTCCCTTCAGGGTCGGGCTCACATCCCCATCACTCTTTTCATCCAGGCAGACAGCGTGCTTCCCAGAAATGTCTGCCTCAGCTCCTTGTGGCCAATCAAACCAAAAAACACGCTTTCAATACCAAAAGCTCCCTATTTATACAGTGCCACTATGCTCTTTCCGTTTGTTTTTCCAGCTAGTTCTCCAGTCTTTCACACCTGGTCTAAAAACGAGCCCTGCCTGTTCTAGGTCAAGACATCTGGTCCGCAGCACCCTCAAGTCTGAGGCGCAGGGCCCAGCACAGCCTCCCCGCGAGCCTTGGGATCTGCAGCGCGGTGCAGCAGAAAGGCCTTGGCACTGAAACAGAGCTGCGTTTCTGTCCTGGCTCTAGCATCACTTGGCGTGTCAGGCTTTTCATCTGTAAGACAGGAAAAATGCCACCTCCAAGAAGGCTGTTCGAGAATTAAGACGACTGTCCAGGTGCCTGCCACATACAAGCTGCCAACCCTGGCAACTTTCCTTCCTCTCTCCCATCCCCGCTTCTTCAATCTGCTGCCCTGAGCCCAAACGACCTAAAAGAATGGCTGCTGCGACTGTACCTGGGGGACAGACAGTTGACAGGAGAAGGCAGAGCCCCTCTGTCCATACTGTATGACAGGATCAAGACAGGAGAGCTACTGGGGATTTAGCTCAGCGGCAAAGCGCCTGCCTGGCAAGCGTGAGGTCGTGAGTTCGGTTCCTGGTACTGGAGAAAAACCAAAGACAGGAGAGCTGGAAACGATGCAGAGAGAATGGGCTCCCCGGCAGGGCTGAGACACTGTCTTCACAGCAGCCACACCGATCCCACCTTCCCCTGCTGGCCATCCAGCAGCAGAAAAAGACAGCTGCAAACTAACATCTCCATGGGCCTGCTGCTGCAGCCTGGGCCGCTGGGCCAGTCGTCACCCTACTCACCAGCAGGGGCAGCCCAGGTCACCCGCACAAATAGCAAAATTCTGCATAAAGAGACCATGGTCCTCCTTGGAATAAGAAATTAAGGTGGTAACAACTAACCAGGAGGGGTGGGGGAGGCGGTCCTTCCTCCACTGTTGGCTGCATGAAGCAAAGATTCTATCAAAAGCCTCAGCGGAGAAGGAATGAACGCAGTAACTTCTGTCAGGACGTTAGTTATGCAACTATCTCTTGGATTTATGAACAAACCTGTTGACTAGAAGGCAAATCTCTTACCGGGCTTCTTGGCAGTAACATTCGGTACTTCTTCACAGAGTTTTTACAAACTTTGAGCATCTCAGAGCTCAATCTGTATTCCCCACTTAGCCAACCGCCAACAGCCAGGGGACAGACCCGCCTGCCCACCTTTCATCAGAGGCTGCTGATGTTTTGCAAATATATTCAAACCAGGAATACGGGGTATTCAGTCCAACAGCAGCAACGTCACCCTCTCCCTACTTTTCCTCTTCCGAACAGAAACTTCCTAAAGTGTCTAGAACAGACAGACAAGTGGACAGATGGACAGAGACACCAATAGTTTGATCATGTTTTTTCTAAGATAAACAGAGGGGAGGCCATACATGTTGAGGAGTGCAGATTTTCCTCCCAAAGTATGCAAACAAACTACAAAAGACAAGCTGTAGGAGCCTTAGAAGGATCTGAGTCCACAGCTTTCTAAGCGTACCACCTAGAGTCCTCCATTCCTTTCTGGAATTTATAATAACGTGCTCTCCACCCACCAGTCACTGTGAGCCGAATCAAGCACTGGCTTTTATTATGAATGCACTGGCAAGAAACTTGGAATCAGCAGGTAGACAGACAATCTAAGCTCAGCCCTTGTGAAATTCTAAGCACCTTAAAATCCCAAACCAAGTATTTACAAACCCTGGGCAGCAGACTGGCTGGTGATTTAAGTACCACAGCAGAAATGTGGGCTTTGGTTTGTGCTTCCTGTCGAACCCCTGGAGCGCAGCGTCCTCTCCCTAAGCTGGGAGCAGCCCAAACCTTTCCGCGTGACGGGACAAACACAGCTCCACCCTGAGCAGGCAAAGCACCTGCTTACAGCTACCTGTCAGCACAGCCTTGCCTCCCCTCACACACCTCCCTCCACCTCGGCCAGCCACGGGCGCGTTTCCGGTGCCTAGCTCACTGGGTCCCCAGGCCCCACGGGGATGTGCTGGAGTGAAATACTCTGGCCCAGATTCCAGCACGGTTTCTACTTCCTATTTCTAGCTGTGCTGTAAAGCTTACATAACCTAATTTGCATTAAGGTACTATTTTTAAAAACCTCCAAAGATCACTGCTTCAAGCATCAATGGAAGCTGTTAGCTCCTAACTGAAATGGTAATGTGGGAGGGAGATCTATTCTTACAACTAATTCAACTTGAATTCTTCACTTAAAAGTCTTCCTGGAGGATGCTGTGAGGAGAGAAGGGCCCTTATATAAGAAACTCCGGGCTCTGTAAGTGCTAGCAAGATACACACAGGTGTTAAAACTCACCTCGGCAGCAGTTCCTTGGCTGTGCTGTTGTTACCCACTCGCCACTGTCTCTGGTCCAGGCTGCCCGCCAACACTGAGGGACCTACGGCCACCTGACAGCGCGAGACCCCAGCACCTTCCTTGTCCTGGGTGACTCCAGAGCCGCCCCGCCACCCTCAGAAGGCACCGGCACTGAAAGGGTGGGAATCCCTGGGAGGCCGCTGGCAGAGCAGGCTGTGCTTACCTTTCACTGCTTTCACCTCTGCCTGATCTTTTAGGGCTCTTAATTACTGGAAATCTAACTGCCTAGGGGGAAGAACAAATTTCCTTAGTTCTTTTCTGTAACTCGCTACTCTACTATTAGTAAATGAGCACGAGTTATTGACGAAATCTAAGAAACAGGGAAATTATAGCGAATGATTATAATGGTAAAACTCCCCCACTGTCATTTAAAAAAGAAACACCTGAGCTCACGGTTGAAAGTAACAACATTGTTCTCTGCCGTACTAGAAAAACTGCCTTAAAAAGCGGGGTATTTGTCATTCATTTCACACAGTTCACTACTTGGACAGAGGTCCATGAACAAAAGGACCCGAAGTTTGCTCAGTGAATGAACTTCCACGTGACGCCCAGTACAGTGATGCCAGAGTCTACATTATTCTATAGTTTATAATTAAACTATTAACTAAATTCATACTCTCTTGCCCCTGCTAACAAACTATTTGTCTCCCAAAGTAGGACATTTACAGTAGGCCAATCCCACCATGCTTCCACTGGACAGACTTTCTGTTCGCTGGAGCCCACAGAAGGGCCCGGCACACAGTCGGCACTGGGCTGCTCTGAGAGCGAGTCAGCTTTACCGCCCAGCGCACTTCACGGATGCCGAGGCCCTGTGAAATGTGCACCTATCTGTGTGGGGGAGCTGTTGTTTGTGCAACCTTTAGGTTCATAATAAACAGAAACTGCCACTTAGAAACAAATACAAAACATGAATCCACTTTAAATTGTGTGCATGTGTATCAAATACAGCCTTAGCACAGACCATCTAATACATAATGAAATGCATATATGGGACACACTAAACGAAGCAAGTCTTGATTAAAATATTTGGTTTAATCCTCATATCTTTAAAATAAACTCCATGATGGTTGAATACAGTGGGAAATAAATATTCTAGCTACTCAACCTGGAAAAGAGACAAACTGGTCTCTGCAGACTTGGTATTGACCTTTCTGAGTCCTACTAAAGTCAGTTCTGCATATAAGTAGCTTAACTCTGTCAATTATATTTTTTCCCATAGTTACCTTAATAGTTTTGGTTTTTTTTTCATTTTCTATTGCTTTTTTATTTATATGGCTTCTTGCTGTTGTACTAGAGCATACAACACAGATCAGAGATTTTATTTCTCAGAGAAGTTTCTCTCCTGGAGAAATTGGCACTTTGATCCTCAGCTTATGTAACAGCTACATGTATGGATCACACCAGCACTGTCTCCAATCTTGCCGCTTCTCAAACTCCAGCGCTTTGGACAAAAGAGTGCCCTGCCATTACACGCATCTTAGGTGAACCGTTCCTACCGCTTAATTCTAAATTTAAACAAGGATCTGGGTGTGTGACTTATATACATATGATAGCCTAAGTGTCTACACACATGCACAAATTTATCTTAGCGAACGTGAAATGTCTCTCTTGAATAAAAAGCACTTACAAGGGTAGTAAAACAAATGTTGAAAATAACTATTTTACATTTAGACCATAAAATTTTTCAAGGTAATGTGATGACATAAGACCTAAGAGATCAAATACATCATATATGATTGTCATATATCCGAGTTGTGTTAATTGTTTATTTTTCTCTTTAATCAGAAAATAAAAGAGCTTACCTTTGTATACTGAGATCACAGCTTACAGTCACTATATCTCAGCCTATTTTATACAAGTGATATGGCTACGAAGGTCCGAGGAGAACGAGAATAAAGTGAGATAAACGTGCTGAAAACTGCTTAAAAGTATTAACCTGAAATACACAGAGGGTCCAACACCAGTTTTAAAAAATACATTAACGAGGTATTCCCAACTCTTCAATTAATAACGGTGACTGACTCATGACTTTCAAACATTCACCCAAACTTAAAAAAAAGAAAAAAAGAAAAGGCTAACACCAGCAAAACTGACCAGTGGTTTGTTCCCAGGTTAACAATTTGAGCAAGATTACCAACAGTATCGGCAGCTACATAAACCCGACTCCTTGCCTCACCTACTGTGCGCTCCACCTCGTCCACATGAGGTATGTTGGAGAGAGATCTGTGGGACCATTACCTGGCTTGAGGAATGGGGCACTGCTGCAGCCCGGAGAGACACAGGCTGCCAGCCACAGCCCTGGTGAGGTGTCAGCCCCCACCAAAAGATATGGCTTCAAGGAGGACCCCTAACTCAGAGAAATTATAACAGTGCTAGCTGACGCAGTCAGGAATGTAACTGTTCAATGTATGTGCTAAAAAAGTTTAAAAAGTGTCAGAAGATAGCACAGCTCCCACGCGAAGTCTAAGTTCTACATTGGTCTGTAAACTCCCTGACAAGAGCTACACTAAAGGGGTTAAGTACAGATATTGCTAGGTTTCCAAAGGAAAAGTTTTAAAACAGACACCGTGGCTTTGGACAAAGTATTGCTCTTCTTTAAAATGCTCAGTCAATGCTTTCAAAGAAAAAGTGTCAGAGCGTGGTATATCTGAAAGCTGGAAAGCCTCAGGGTGTCACATTGCTCTTAAGACCAAGACATAGAAATTGCCATTTCAAGCCAGACAACCTGATGGTTCTAGAAGTCAGAGAAGAAATCTTGAGGGCCCAAGTGAATAATAAATGGTGCGACGCTCAGAGGCTGGCAATAGGGGCTGTCAATGAAAAAACCACCTATAGCGGAGAAAAGAGCAGAGAAGCAAAACCTCACATTAATTTCATACAATTTGGTGAAGCGAAGAGCTTCATTTATATTTCTCTGCTCTTTCAGCTGTAAGTGGAATTTTCATTACAAAATGGAGGGGTGGGAAGGGCAAAAGGTGGGGGACACTTAATTCATTACAGAATTTAAACAGTTGAACTTGCATGGTTACCACTTCTAACAAAGGACTGACAGCTCAATCATTTTAAGTAAAGCAGAGAAATGTAAAAGTTTGCAGCAACTGGGCAGGTTTACAACATGGTTAGTAACTTCCAACAAACAACAAAATTAAAAAAAAAAAAAAAAGACTTGGTAGAAACCATTTGAAATGACTGCCATCATGTTGGAAAACAGCACAGCTCCCTTTTCTCCATCACTGGGGTTATGAAGCAAAGTCAGCTACTTCAAAAGAATTTGCTGAAGAGAAATCTCCAGGGAGATTCCAACTTGGAATCCAAATTTGACAATCAATTTCAAGTAACAGTAACAACTGCAGCTGCCAATTAATAGTATTCCAAAAACAAATCGCTACTGTAAATATTTAATAAAAAGTGGACCCTACCAGCCATGCTTTTTCTTCTCAGTGATGGCTCTGTTTCATCCATAGGTCAGCAAAACAAATCAATGAGACATGAAAACCCCCGGCTGAAATGGGCCCTTGTTGTTTATGTCTAGCCACTAATGCACAGGATGACAATGATAAGTTACAGCTACTTCCAGCAAGTGATGAGGTTTTATTAAAGTATCACCCACCACTAAGAATAGGTCAAGGAGAAGAAACGAGTTATTATGCCATATACATCTGAGGAATGACACTAAAATTTGTGTTACACTGCCCGTATCACCCTTACTTGATGGTCCCCCCAAAATATCTGACATAAATTCGCCATATTTTGTGAAGCCCACTTTCACTGATGGGCACCATGCATTTCAGAAAAAGCAGAATTTAATACGGAAGAACGAAACTAATTCAAACTAGAAACACATTTTGCAAGACACAGCAACTTGTCGGTATGGACAGGACCACGCCGCTGCCTTCATGGGGGTGAATACCTTAATGAAACCATTACCTTCTAGTAACAGCATCGGCTTTCCAAACAAGGTGAGAATGCGAGTGGAGACTTCGGTCTGCACCCTTTACAGAACAGCACAATGTTACCAACTGATCAATTTCCACCAGCGGAATCAGGTGTCTTATAAACAAATGCTGACCCATGGCTGAAACCTGTCACTTTCCACAGCAGCACTCAACAAGAACTGGGACAATCGAAGAGCAAGTTTTTATGGGGACCCTGTTGCTGCTTTAGATTCTGATGTAATTGAAGAGGAAAGAAGACCCTTCAACAAATGCCAGAAAAATCTCTAACCTTCTATCTGCATGAAAAAGCCAGGGAGTGAACACAAAATCTTACAGAGTGAAGAAGGCCACAAGAACAAAAGAGGGTGATTGATTAATTAATTTATTTTTAAAACTTGGAAATTCGTAAACTAAAATGATCACATTCCTCCTTCCCCATCTCTGGGTAATGCCATCCTCGTAATAAGCAGTGCTGGGGTAACAGAATGTCACCTTTATCATGGGGACACCCTTGTACGACCAGAGTACAAAGGGCTTACAAAGTACGTAGTCTGGCTCAAACAATCCCCTTGCTTTGTTTTAGCGGTTTTGCTTACAGATGAATGGGCTTCTAGGGCTAAATTATTATTAGTTTGCAGTTCTTTGTAATCTGATACCAAAACATATCAAAAATAATAAGCTAAAACAATATTCAAACCCATATTTTATTGGCTTTAATTACACACTTCAGTATTTACAAAGTTAAAGTCTAAATGAAAAGTCTCTACTGTATTAAAAAAAAAACTACAGCCCGAATTAAAGTGCCCAGAGGCAAGCACATCTCCAGCAGCTGAGGACCAGTGTCTGCAGCAGGAACCAGGCGGCACTCTGCGTTACAACAAAGCTGTTTATTTGTGATCAGTGTTTGAGACTCTGTACATCCTTCACAAATTTAATTTTACATAATCTGATACTCTCTTAAAACTTAAACTTTGAACTGCTAGACTTTTATTTCCCTAGAACATAAGGGCTGGTATAAATTATTTTCCAGAAATGAGGTACCGTTTCACAGAACTGGTTTCTTTTTTTTTCTTTTTTTCTTTTTTTTTTGTCTGTTTTCAAGTTTTAGAGAACTAAATTTGCATTTGTTAAAATCAAAAAGTAGGAAAGATGTTCTTTACAAATAATTTTGATCAAGTATGTGTTCAAAGAAAGCAGGATAAAAAGGCTTTTTCTTTAACATTCTGTATTGTACTGTACTGTTGTTCAATGGGAATGAGCTTCTGTCATTTGCTAAAAGAATGAGTAGTGGGGAACAGGATATGTTGGGAATTTCATAACAGGTAACAGAACCATTCTCTTGGGCAAACCTACAGAGAAAAGAAACGGAGAGGACTCCAAATAAGTTTAATATGCCAATAAAAATTTCAAGTTAAAAAATATCTTACATTAGGTATCATTAACCTTTTCCAGATTAGTCAGTCAACATGTACCATTTTGAAAGAGGCCCACAAATCTCTCACAGATCACCTGTTCTGAAATTGCTCTTGTATGGTGGTAAATATTTTCTATTCAAAACCAAGATGGTTACATCATTGAATATTTTCTATTCAAACCAAAATGACATTCAGAAATGACAGCCGAGTGAACTGCCATAATTATATTCTAGAGATCAAAAGCAATGGTATTGAGTAATACTCTAAAGCGACTCTACAAATCCGTATCGGTTCTCAGTTTGGCAGATCACATATTACAGGAGAAACAGGGATTGTCAAGATGCAAAGCACAGCGTTTTGTGCAGGCCTCAGCTCCCTGGAAGACAGCTCCACAGCTGTGACCAGGTGTTTGTTTATCTTCTTAATGGTTACTGCCAGTATTGGCATGGCAAATCTGGAAAGATTAATTACTTCCTTAATTTTGTAATTAATACGTTCTTGTGGCCTCACAAACTTCTGCATACTCAGGCAGGATTTGAAATCTGCTCCTATTCCTATCTAATATTTAACGTCTGGAGAAATCACAAAGCAGCAACAGCAGGTATTCAAGAGCACCAGATGATCGGAGGGAAGTTACCCCACATGCAACAGCTTTACAAAGGCCAAAAGACATATTTACCTTACAGCCAAAATAAAGCATTGTTTTAGTAGGTTTGCATCACAGTAACATTTAAAAACCAAATCTTTTATGTGAAAAATGGGGGCATCAAATGTCACCAGCTTTGGAAGTCAGTTATATGGCACATGAAAGACAGCAGCCTTCCGAACGGAGGCTCAGAGGCCCCAGGGTGAAAGTGCAATGTTAAAGGAGAAAAGGGAGGGCCAAGAGTGAAAAATTAAAAAGACAGAAGAAACCATGGATGTAACTGGGAGCCTAGATATAAAATGCTTTAAAGGGACACGGTAAGCTCTAGCAAACCTCTACTGAAGAATCTGAACCTTACTATGTGACTGAAAGGCTCAAAAACCTGCCTTAGGAGGCAGACGTTCTTCTGGTGCCCACACCAGGTACAGCAGAGCTCAGGTATCAAGTGCACTGCATGTGGATAAACCCACCAGATCTAGTTCAGGAAGGACGAGGAAGTTTGGGCATCTACAGCCTAGCTGAAGTACAAATGCCAGTGTCCAAACTGAAAGGTGTAAGCACGTGTGAATAGGAAGGAAATCTGGGTGAAAACATATGCCTGACATCAGTCCCGAATTTCCATTCCCACCTGCCCTTATGGCTCCAGTTTGGAAAAGAGGAAGCCTGACAGTGCCAGAGGTGATACTAGGAAAGGCTCAAAGTCGAGGATGTGTGCTTTACCCAAGAAAAACTCATTCCAAATGTGTGACCCTTGCCACTTCTCTGTATCTTTTCAGGATATTAACTGTCTATCTTAATAGGCAAAGAGGTCAAACTATTTGTTTTCTAGTTATTTTTACAATTAGGAAATCAGATGAAGGTTCGGTTTATCAGCGTCTTAAAAATGGCAAAGCTGAAGTGTGAAGGGAGAAGGCACAGTATGGAGGTCTGAGGCTCATGTAGAGGATTCGTGCCACAAACAGCAACATGTGAAGGGCCCTTGCCGTCTGTGACTACGCACGCCCAGCCTGGGGCCATGCTGACTCATACTTTCAAGTGCACACTACATGCACACGTGCACGCATTCACGCATTCTCTCTCCCGTTTCTCTCTCCCCTTCTCTCAATGACAAACATCTTGCCAACGGCTGATTCTGTAACATGTAGCACCTGAGTTGGGAAAAATGTCTAAGAGCATATCACTGACTCCAAACCTACTGCCTCCATTGCCACATAAACCTCATTCAAAAGTTATCCAAAGGGCCATAGTGATTCAATTATGTAGTTGCTCTTATTTTTTATCTTTGGGGGAGAAGAGACAGACCTATGACTTCCTAGCATACACTACTGACTTTCTGCATAAAGAACTTAAGGGACACTGTTAGTGAAGCCCCGTCCTCTCTAGAACCAATGACATCCATCAGCCCCAAAGCAAAATGCACAGAAAAGGATGATGGGTACAAATTCCTGACTGCAATTACCTACAGTTTACACAGTTCCAAACCAGAAATTTAAATGCAGCATGGAACTGGAGGCAGTTAAGCTAGAAAATGGGTATGGCCCTTCAGTAGCCTTTGAATAGAGTGTAAGTTGGCTGTAAGAATTACTTAAAATATTTAATTTCAGTAAGGTCAAAAACAGGCAATTAGAACAAGCAGTCCTTCAGTCAGGCAAAGCGGAGAGAAGAGCAACTCCAACCAAACCAAGAACCACAAGGTTGTGGCATTTTCTAAGGGAATTTAAGTTGGGTCACTAGAATGATTAGGTCTGAGGTCCTCCAATTCATTTACTGAAAGCCTGGATACAAGTGTGCTTTGGATTGCTGTAAAAGATTCACTAAGAGGAGAAATGAGTAAGATGGTGTACATACCATAGGCAGGCGCAGCTGTGCTGTAACCATATGGTGTTCCATAGCCTGATGCAAAGAAAAGAGAGCAGATCAGTCCAAGACCAAAGACAAGTGGCAGAGGCCCACTTCAAAAACAGCACCTGGCCTGGCACCCTAGGACCGGAGAACTCCTCCCAGAGGCTGAACGGGAAGAGCCGTTCCGGAGCAGTCTCACGATACGGTGGCTCTGAGTGCCTGCTCTCTCCCCTTGTGCACTGTGTTTCGGCCTGCATCACACTGCACTCTGCTTACTGAGATGTCTGTCCCCACCCCAGGGAACCCTGAACCTTCACTGGGGGGAGGGCAGCCCTCAGTCACCTCTGCATGCCCCACTTTCAATCTGCTGTTTGACACAAAGCACTCAAATGTATACTAAAATGCACTGCTTTTAGGCACCAAATCAAAACATTTCCTGACGGATGAGTTTTTTGCTTTTTAGTCTATATGTAAATGATATACAACTTGAAGTAGTACCACTCAGCCCTTGGGCTCACTAAATCACGTATTTCAAGAGAACACAATACAGCTAAAATGAGCAGCAGAACAGAAGGTGGTAGCAGAGGCCAGAAGAAAAATTAATGCTTTAAAAAAAAGGTTATACATCAATCTAGTCCAGGAAATGGGAGCTGTTTTGTTATGCCTACAGTTTCAAAGGGTTTAACAAAACCTCCTTACAGAGAGATGAAACCGTAACTACTAAGCTGGGCACTAATCAGGCCCCTGGGATTCTAACCCTGACTTCATTTTTTACTGGCAATGTGTTTTTGAATTGTCCATTATTGTATAATAAAAGCTTTGCCCTTTCCCTAATGCAATAAATGAGGCTAAAAATACTAAATTTCGGTAGAGAAAGTGAGACCCACAAACAATCTGCTAAGAAACTCACACAGTTCTTTCCCTTTAGTGTTTTCTAGCTAATTAAATAGCACCATCAACCCAGTCAGTTCCTCCCAGGTTATACTCTTGAAACCTCATTCTTTTTCACTCTACACATTCCCTCATCACTTTTGCTTTCTACCTACTCCCTCAGTCTCTTCACATACTGCCCCTCCTTTAGTCCTCTGCATCCCCTGGCCTCCTCGGTCCGGTGCCTGCATGACTCATCCACGACAGCCTTCTAACTGGTCCTGGCATGCCAGTCCTTGACCCTACAATCTATTCTTCACTGTACAGAAGTGACCTTTTCAAAGAAAGCCAATCTTGTCACTTCTTTGCCTCACGACCTCCCACTATATTTAGGATTCAAAGACCACAAAATCCAAGCCATCACCTCCAGATCCAGCTCTGAGCTAACCGCTTTAACCACTTTAACCACTTTGCCCCAAGCACCACTCGGGCAGCATGTTTTGTTTGCATACAGACTATCCCAAGCATCCCTCTGGCAGGTGTCATTTCAACCAGTTGATTCTTGTATTGAATAAATTTGATAAAATTGTTTTTCTATTTCCTGTTAAAAAATATGCAATTTTTGGTTATCCTGTATTTAAATAACTGGACTGGTAGGTGGTGTATATGAAAATATGTGGTAAACAGTAAGTTCTGGATAAAAAGTTCTCTTTTTTTTCTTTTTGTACTTCTGTCTTGGACGGTTTTCAAGCATTGAGTTTAGCAAGTGTTAACAATGCCGGCTTCACCCCAATTAAAAAAGTTTCTTTATCATTTTTCTCTCCTGGTATACACTCAACCTGACTTCTGTGTCCCCAGAGGACACAACCTGCTCAGATGTGCAAACCCCTGGATCTGTGGAGCATCTTTTAGATTCCTCACTGACAAAATGCCTTCTCCCAACCAAGTACAATACTGCTCCTATTTTCTACTTCCAGGAAGGCTCTAAGAACTCAGCAGATTCCAGGAGAAAAACTATGGCATTCTCTTCTTTTGAAGATGTGTGTACTCATCTAATTACCTGTGTTATATTTCCAGAGACCCCCATCCCCCAAAACGCTTGCAAAATGAAGGCCATGCTGTTCCTCAGACCTGCGCTCAGGGCAGGCAACACTAACCTGGAGCTATGTAGCCAGGAGCAGCTGTAGCCCCAACGAAAGCTCCCCTCGTCAGAGTGCCTCTTCCTCTGCCTCGAACCGCCTGCACTGCTGCAGACACAGCTGTATTCACAACACCTTTTGCCTTTAAAAAAACATATTTTCATCACTGAGAGAAAGAACTACCAGCTTTGCATCTCTTTGACAAACAACCACCGTAAGAAACGATGTTTCCACAACACAGAAATGACAACTACTTCACAGAGCTATTCTAAAGAATATATGGGCATATATATATATATATATATATATATATAAAGTACCTAACATTTTCACTGTCAAAAGAATTTGTAGTTTACCACAAATTTAAGTAGTCAAATTACATTCCAAATCATTTTAGACCTGACTAAAGTAGTTATAGACACTGGATACCCAGGTTCAAAAGCCACTGGATTTTCCACTCGGGCAGACTATATCCCAGTAACAAATTATCTAGAATTATCTAGAATTAGGTTAAAAAAGAGATCAGACTAAGACAGGAAGACCAAAAATGAGGATGGCAGGTCCTCATCTGTGACCTCGGGAAGGTCACAGGATTTTTTAAAGCTTGTTTATTCTACTATACTTACCTATGTGCCTATCTTTTTGTATATCAATTATTAAATAAATACCACCTCTAAAATCCCTTCTTGCTCTAAAATGACATGGGACACTGGTGAAGTCACATAATAGCTCTGTCTGGCAGTCTTCCCACTAACTGTAAAATGAAGATAATTGTACCCACTTTGTTTTCTTCACTTTAGAAAAAGCAACAGAGAGAACAGACATGAAAAGAAGAACAGACATTCAAAAAGAACTGAAAACTGAAAATTTAAGATCAAATGATGTCAGATTTTTAATTAAATACTATACTTAATATTTACACTTAAATATAATCCAGATGTATTTTAGTATAAAATGCAATAAAAACTCAAACTAGAAACACTAAAATTCCCTACTATAACCAAGGTACCAGGAAAGTGGTAATCAAGTCAACAGTCTCAGAAGCTACTAGAGTCAGAGGGCACATATACCCATCTCCCATGGAAAAACCATCATCCTTCTCTCTGCCCCCAATGACCACCACCTCTGCCATGACTAGCCAGAAGACACTTTCAAGGTCAAACATATCATGCACAGGGATAATCATTTTTCTTTTTGCCTGAAATAAACCAACCCACACATCCAAAATAGACCGCTTCTTAGCTGTCAAAAATGTTTTACAGCTTCTAGTATGAAAAAATTCTAAAAAGGAGTGAACTTTTTTTTAAACATAGCTTAGTTGGAAGTAGTCAGGAAGAATCGGGGCAGCGAAGTGATTCCACACAGATACAACTCATGTTACCAGAGACAAACTTAACTACCTAATAAATACTTAAACCTAGACTTTCTAAACAATAAAAGTAACTGTTGAAATACAAGATATAACCCTGGCCGGAAGACACTTTCAAGGTCAAACATATCATGCACAGGGACAATCATTCATTCAGCTGTATTCACAACACCTTTTGCCTTTAAAAAAATATATTTTCATCACTGAGAGAAAAAACTACCAGCTTTGCATCTCTTTGACAAACAACCACTGTAAGAAATGATGTTTCTTATGGTCAATACAGCGCCTCTGAATTTCTGTCCATCTACTTCTACTTAACCTAGTCCATCTACTTCTTCTTAACCTAGTACATATTTTGCTCTATATTTACTAGAAGGTTTTAGAAAAAGTGATCTTATCTTCTACATATGTACTACTGTAATTTAAAAGCTTTTGTTTTTATTTAATCTCAGTAAAAATTACTTTTGTTTATACTGTGACTCCTAGAATTCAATAGTGTTTATTATAGTTGATACAAGAAGTTAGACTCAATACAAAACAAATGTCTAGATGGTTATAACATGCAACAGAACAGCCATAGCCTTTGGATGGAGAAGATCCAGTCTGAAAGGGAACCTCTACCCTAAATGAGCTGTGTGACTATAGACATATCTATTCTTAAACTGAGATCAATAAAGTTTGCATGTGTAAAAGACTATAAATATCATGTTTAACACAGAAGTTTAGTCTAAAGTTACTTCTATTAAGATAAGCATTTTTAATATACTTGTTTATATCACACAGTATACTCAGATATTACTATTACACCAGCACTCTCCATGAAGCAGAGAATGTCTTAAATTTACTTACATGTCTCTTTTTCTCATACAATCATGTACATGGTACACGTCTAGAAAATATTTTTGATACATAAGTGTATCATTTTGATACATGCTTGTATCAAAAAGCATGTAGTTAGGAGACCGTCTTATCCAAATTCCTTGTGAAGGCCTTCCCACTGCCAATAATTCACAGATGCAGCACAGTGTCACCTTTTGTGCCACCCACAGAGGAAAGCCCCAAATAAACAATGCAAAAAGATACAGCGGAGAGAAAGTAGGAGAGCAGCTACAGACTCAAGGAAAGTGAGCCCCAGGCAGTCTGAGGCAGTCTGGCAGCTCTGAGCAAGACAAAAGCTCACACCTACAGAAAGCCTCGCTCGCCTCAGTATCTTACTGCATCAAGAATGACCTCAACTCTCCCAATAACGCTAACAGCCTCTCTTTTATAAATCTGCCTACAAAAACCATAGAGCAAGGACTCACAGAGCCTAATGATCTATCAAAGAAAAAGCTGCCCAACAATTCATGAAAAAGAACCAATTTCAGAAAAAGCTAAAGTAACACACAGACAGGAATTTAATTCTTACAGCATTTTCCAAAGGCATTACAAAGGTTTTGCCCAACTCTTACCTGAGGAATAATCTTCTTTTTCTTATTATTTGCTGCATTGGGTCCAGAAAACAGCTTCTCCAGAGCAGCTAAAGCTGCACTTGCCTTTGCCACTTTCTTATTTGGACCTGCGCCTCTGAATTTCTGTCCATCTACTTCTACCTGAAATCAAAAACACCACTTTACAATTATTCCATGTAATTCCTCTATAAGATTTAACATTCCATAACATGGAGAACACCAGAAGTTAAGTAGTTCCAAAAGAACTGATAGAGCCTACAACTCTCTACATATCAGTCCAGCATATCCTGCCTAGGAGAGGGGCGTAAGGAAGAACAGCATGTATCTAGGCACACACCTCCATTACAAAGCGCTTGTCGTGGCTTCCACCAGTCTCTGAGATGAGTTCATACTTGAGCCCTCGTCTTTTTTCATTGAGCTCCATTACAGGGTTTTTGCCACTTGCTGTGAGGATAGGGCCCTGAGTTCTTACCTAAAAGACAAAGAGAAGCTGGAGAGTCAATCAAGTAACATTTTTTTTTCAATTTTTATTTTTCATAAATACACAATGATCACATTCCTAGTGGGGAGTTGGTACATGTATGTAACATCTTAATTTCAATTAAGTTTAGTAAGAAATTTAATGTTCTAAAACCTTACATGATTTTAGAACATTAAAATTCTTATTAACACAGTTATGCTAAAAAAAAAAAAGCTCAAAAATTCTAATTTAAAACACTTGAGGATGAGAATGAGTCACCTCTCTACACTGATGGCAAAATATCATCAAAGGTGTGAAAACTCTACAAGGAGTAAACACTCAGTCATCTGGACAGCCTGCCTTCAAACACGGGTCCCAACAGAACAGTACTGAAGATCAGTGGAGCCCTGCCACTCACCATTATCCAGGGTCTCATCTGTCCTGGCCAGAACCTAAAATAACACTACATGACTAACAAAGAGGGCAGAGCTGGGATTTGCATGATGCCTGAGGGGTCATTTTTTTCCCACCTTTCAGGTTAGGAAGAAATAACTTAATTTGGGATATAGGAGGAAATGTCCCTATGAAATTCTCAATCTTCCTTAAAAGATTTAAGGGCATCTAAGTAAGGTACAAAAAAAAGTAGGCTACAGATTATGGGTTCTGAAATTTAACAACAATGAAGTTAGTCATTCCTTGCCTTCACAGAGCCAGCATGTCCTGGGAGGGACAGATGAATCACTGTAAAACAACCTATGTTAGAGCACAGATGCATGCTGTGGGAGCACAGCAAAAGGGATTACTTTGTAGTACAATCCTGACAGGGTTTGTCTAGCATCTCAGACATGTGAACCCTGCCTTAACGAATGGAGAGTCAGACCATCATCATCAGAAGCAAAGCTCAGAGGTTGAGCACTCTTTGAGTTCAGGGATCATGTCTGTAATTCCATTATAGCAATTGCTCAAAATGCTGAACAAACAAAACGAATGCCTAAAAGTAGTCTTATGCATAAAAACCTAATGGACATCAAGAGGTTCTTAATATAGTATTCTGTGGATTGGATAAGTAGCTGCTGAAGTGAAACAATAGGCAATTTTCAAAGACAGTTTAATATACATTCATGGATCTTTTACAGTAAACTCCCTTCCTGATACATTTTCATAATTTACATTGTTAAATTTCACGGCAAATTTCTACTCTCCATCTTTTAAAGGTAACAAGTAATTATGTGAAACTAGATTTGTACTACTCGCTCTCTGCTTTCCAAACCTCATTTTATACAAGTGAGTACAGACATAAATTTGTGTGTGATGGGTAGCTACTAAGGACTGAACCCAGGGCCATACGCATGCTAGACAAGTGTTCTACCATGGAGCTACACCTCCAGCCACCTCCCTCTCTTGTGTTTTTTTATTCTAAGTCAGGGTTTAACTAAGTTGTCCAGGCTAGCCTGGAACTGGCGAGCCTCCTTCCTGCCTTGGCATCCCAAGTAGAGGGGTTTGCAAGCATATGCCACCATGCCTGAAATATTTGAACTTTAAGGCAAGAAGTATAGCTCGGTAGGTATTAATCATGTTAAGCATGTTAAGCATGTTAAGCATGTGTGAGGCCCTGGGTTCAATCTGTAATGCCAAGAAGAAAAAAACAACACTCAAATTTTAGTCAGTGACTACTATTTTAAATGAAGAGATGAAAAAGAAGGGCTTTCCACTGCTCATTACCTCATTGTACAAAGCACAAACACAGCTACTACTAAAACCTCCATAGATTCATACGACTGCTATCAGGGTAGCCCACACTGCTCTCTCCCTTTCTGCTTACCAGCCTGAACCTCATAACCCACACGCCCTTTCTTCTCATTATACATCACACAGCTGGCAAAGCAACACCTTGCCCTGTGACCACCCCCTATGAAACAGCAGTACTGTAAACAGCTGGGTGCCACATCTGTCCTCCACAGCATCCCTTGGAGAGTCCAGAGTCCTCTCTCAGGCTTCAGCCTCCATCAGTCCTCCCCACAGTGACCCACTTGGTACTTCCCAAACACGTGCTTTGAGCTCCAGGTCATGGTACCTCCTATTCCTTCAGCCTAGAATGCCTTCCTGCGATCTCCCCAACAGGGCAAAACGCATCTTCTACCTGTACTGTCTCTTACACTGTCCTACCTCTTATGGAAGTAAGAGTATGGCACCTACACAAGCACTTCCTCTTTTGGATTTCACTTATCACATTTATTCTGCAATCATATAGCCTATCACACAACATTATCCATTATTACAAATGTGTCTTTTGCTCCTTTTAGACTAAGAGAATCTTGGCTCTGGGCACAATGCAGTAGCTAGAGCTGAGCAGGTACTAAAAGGGACTTAGGGACTAAAAAGAAAAGACTATTAAGTCCTTAATAAACACTTATTCTTATAAATGACTAAATAAAACAAAAATTAATATAAGTCTTACTGTTACCCAAAGCCAATTTTCTTTACAGAGAATTCAGTAAACAGGAGTTCCATGAATCCCCCAATGTGCTGTGCATGTTAGGGACTTGGATTTCACCCCATTCTACTGTCTTTGGCAATAAACTCACAGGTGAGAACTTATTCAGATGCTAAGGCACATACTGCATCAGGTTATTCTCTCTTCTCCTTTGGAGTTGGACCAACTAAATGATGGCCCACTTTTCAAGTACATACACAGTCCAGTTTAGCACACACTTTCAAAAGCCCCAAATTTCTTTCACTAGATCTTTTCATTTTTTTACTTTTCAGTTATTGTTGATATCCCTGACACATTACAATTATAACATAAAAGCAGCAGCTTCTGTGGCTAGGAAGAGGGAAGTACTGGTTAAGTTAGGGACTCTTCATGTGCTGAACAGTATACAATATTGTCAGATTTTTTGTTGTTGTTGTTCTTTTGGACACAGGATCTCACTATGCAGTTCAAGCTGGCCTTGAACTCACAGTGATCCTCTTGCCTCAGCCTCCTGAGTGCTAGGATTACAGTCATGCGTCACCATGCCCAACCTTTATGTCAGATATTTTTAGTTAAGTGAAAATAAATCAAGATGTAAAACCACAAAAATTTAATTGTCTTTATAAAAATGTTCATGAAATAAATCTGGATAGAAATAAGCCAAGGTAATGTCTGCCTCTGAAATACATAATAAATTAAAAATAATTTACATATGCTTTTAATTTTTTTATCTTTTCTAAATCTTTCAAATTTTCTACACTATACATATGTTCTATTTTCCTAACAAAAGAAAATGTAAGTATACCTCTAAGGTACTGGAGGTTTCAGTTGCAGAATTTCCAGTATTATTGCTTGAGTTTGAAGACACTGTTTCATTTTTGCCTTCATTATCTGATTTTTCATCGGAACTCATACATTCAATATCTGCATCAAAGCCAGTTGGGTATCCCATTGCCTGTAATACCTGTTCAAATTACATAAAGATGAAATTTTATTCACATACCAGAGGTCACAGAGAAGATATGAAACACAGAACAAACATTTTAAATTCCTAACATTTGGGCTCATAAAACACCTTTCAGGAAAATCAGGATGGTGCTAAACCTATAAATCCTTGGTTAAATAAGGTATACCTACCAGGATAGTACTATAGAAAAAAAGAAAAAAACCTCCTCAGAGTAATCAGGTTTAAAATAAGACAACAAAAATGCAAACCTGAGGTTGCTCCTGTTTCATTTAATTTGGACAAATGGCATAGCCAGGTTCAATCAATGGGATGAGAGGAAAGTCAAATAATACACTGAAAAAAGTACACTAGGCTACAAAGGAAAAGACCTGACAGTCTAATGCTAACATCTCTTCTCAATTTTCTTGTCTGCAAAACAGGATGACTGTAGTAGTTGATCTCCAAATTCTATGACACAATCCATGAAGGGAAAGTGGCCCAGAAAAGGAATTACAACATCTAAATCTTTCTACTTGACTGTGCTTTCAACTTAAATCAGGAGTTCCCATCCCCTGGACCACGGACAAGGACGGATTGGTAGCCTGTTAAGAACTGAGCCATATGGCAGAAGGTAAATGTAGCTTCATCGGTGCTTATAGCTGCTCCCCCTCACTCACACAACAGCCTGAGCTCTGCCTTGGCATTGGATTCTCACTGGAACACAAACCCTACTGTGAACTGCACATGCAAGCAACCTAGGTTGCAGGTTCTATTTTATAAGAATCTAATCCCCTCCCGGCTCCGGGCCGGGGGTATACAGCTCAGTGGCTTAAGAGCTTGCCTGGCAAACCTGAGGTCATGAGTTCGAGTCCTGGTATCAAAAATAAAAACAATCTAATCCCCAAACCAACCACCAAAACCAAAAACCATCACCATCGCCACCTCCCACATGCTCATGCACACATCCCCTCCCCTCCCATCCATGAAACCAGTACCTCATACCAAAGATTAGGGACCACTAACTTAAATCATAATTGACATCTGGGGGAAAAAAGATGCAATTCCTGCATTTATTTTATGTGCAAGTGAACTGAGCACAATTTTTGGTTTGTATTTCCATCCTCCTCTCACACAGCTTGATTACAGTAGGCAGGTAGGCAGGGTGCTCAGGACAGAACCCAGGGTCTCTGCATACAAAGCACATGCTCACCATTGAGCAACACACTCCCAGCCCTTAATTAAAGTTTTAAATCGGAGGACATACGGATAAGTTCCTAAAGGACCCTGTATTTCTTTCACATTTTATTTCTTTATTATACCAAATGTACTCAACAGATAACTTAAAAAACTGTTACAGCCACCCCATGAATGGCAAACACCCTCACAGATAATGGCATCATAGTCAACAATTCTGCCAACAAATAAAAGGGCATTAGTCTAAACAAAAATTTTTAAGAGGCTTAAGTAAAACTCTGTACCAAGAAAACTTGAAATTAATCCATCCAATTCATATATAGAGAACTTGGCATTCTCATCATAAATAAATTCTTTGTATTTATTTGGGAGTAAAGCCATTTTTAACATCTTAAGTTTTAAAAGTACTCAGGTAGTACTTTACACTAAGTACACTAACATCATTTGGTTATATCCTCATCAATATTTTATAAAGAAAACACCTCCTTCTCTGCTGAGTCCTGCAAATATGCCCTCCTTGAGAATCTCATCTTGGAGAAGTTACCAGTTCAAAATTAACCCTAGACAACCCAGGCTGCAAAAGCCAAGCATCACAAATAAATTTGTAAAAGTAAAGACATGCAGCATTTCCCAACATAACAGACAATTAGAATAGTCTAATATAAACTAGTTAACACCACTTTGCCCTACCTTTTTCTCATGTGTCAGTCATTTACTTGTTATTATAGTAACATGTGCCAATACATATAGAAAGTTTATGTAATGCATGAACTTCAAGGGATACAGCATTCACTTTCAATACAAATAGCTAGGAGCCCCCGGTGCCCTGGAGGCTGTGCGGCCGGGTGTGCCAGCCCCTACCAGCACAGGCGCCCCAGAGGCGGGCCCCCTGGCCCCCGGGAAGCTGGATGGTGGGGTGCGCCTGCGTTTGGGTTGGTCCCTAGCCAAGCAGGCACCCTGAAGGAGGGCCCTCAGTGCCCGGGAAGCCGTGCAGTGGGGTACACTGGCCTTTGGACCAGGCCCTAGCCGAGCTGGCACCCAGGAGGCAGGCCCCTGGGAAGCCCTATGGCAGGGCCAGGAGGCGGGCCCCTGGTGCCTGGGAAGCCGCAGCGGGGAGCACCAGCCTTTGGGCTGGCCCTTAGCAGCTCAGGGACACAGGAAGTGGGCCCCCAGTGCCTGGCAAGCCACGCAGCAGTGCACGCTGGCACTCACTGGCCCTCAGGCCAGCCACTGTCGCACAGCTGAGAACTATCATGGCACAGAGAAGCAATGACACAATTGCCCCACCACGCGCCGGCTGCAGAGGCCCGCCTGTAGACGTGTGTGAATCATTCCAACATGGAGAAACCCCTGGGAATATATGCCACACAACGCATTGCTCTTGTCCCTGCCACTGAGAACCAGAAAGATCCAGAGTCAGCAAAGGAGCAGCTGCTGAACAAGGACTAGGAGACCACAAGAATACAGACTACACCCGAAGACTCAGAGGACTAGCTGACCAGGGTCACGAGAGCCGTTCGGAAGATGGAAACCAGGAGGACCTTGTGCAATACCTGGGGAGACCCCCTGGAAGCCATTCTTCCCCTGATAGTACAGGCTGCAGTGGAGGAGTGCGTGGAACTCCGGAGAGGTCTATATCGAGATTCCTGCTGCCTGTGCTGACGGTTGGGGAGAGGACACTAAGTGGTTATGGGGTCCCAATGTGCTGGGAGGCTGGAGAGAAAAAGCTACAAAAAATGGCTTTCATCCCAGATGGCTCTCTTGAGATGTTACTAAGAATTACCTCCTCAGTATTCTATAGCTGTGACGAGGCCGAGGCCAAGAAGAGAAAACAGAGAGACTGAGAAAAAGCAGCTGCTTTTGCTGCAGCACTAAGAGAAACAGACCCTAAGTCTGATTCTCCGGGCCCCAAGAAGAACTCAATGACTACATTCATCTGCTACTGCTGTTAAAACCCAGGCCACCTCAAGAGGAACTGCCGTAAGAAGCCCCCTGGGCCATGCCCTGAATGCAAAGGTGACCACTGAAGATCAGTCTGCCTTCTGAAGTAGAGGCCCCAGAGCTCAGACCCATGCTACCAGTTAGTCCAACAGGAATGAGGGGACCTGGGGCATACTCTGCCTTCTCCCTCTGGCCAGACTGTCATCTCCATGGAGGAGCCCTGGGTAATCACAACTATACAGGGAAAAGAAAACAGCCTGTTGCTAGACACGGGTGCAAGTCTCTCGGTCCTTCTCTTCAATCCTGGTCTTCCTTCCAGCCGTCACACCTCAGTGAAAGGAGTCACTGGTGAGGAGGTAATACACTCTTTTTCACAACCTTTAGGCTGTAACTACTTGTTAGATCTTTCTTGCATATCTCTGTCTTCCTGAGAAACCATTTTGAAGACACCACCATGTATTATAGCAGCCATTGATATTTTCCTACTAATCTGTCCATAACTCTGTAATGTCTGTATTGTTCCTATGCTATTTCGTAAATGGACGTATGTTTATTATTATGTGTTTCCTACAACAATCATTGAGAACAGTCAATGATTATTCAAATGGTCACTCATGTATAGCTCTATTTATTTTCTTTAGAAGTCACTCTGAAGATACCAAAGTATAGTACAACAACTACTGATAATCTCCTACCACTTTTGTCTGTAACTCACTATTATTTGTCTGTTTGTTTTCCTGAGAAACTGTCTTGTAGATAACAATATGTAAAACAACAACCATTGGTAATTTCCTGCTACTTTGTCTGTAATTTGGTAAGCCCTCTCTATTAATGTTATCCTTCTTTTACTCTTTAAAATTAAAAATAAATAAAGAAAAAAGGAAGTTTGAGCCCAGTTTGGGCAATTTAACTAGATCTTGACTCAAAATAAAAAATAAAACCTGACCCCCCCCAAAAAAAAATACAAATAGCTAACAACTTTTTTAAAAAGAATAAAATGTCAAATTAAATCATTTTTCTATGAACACACATTCTAAAAGCATTTACTAGTATATACTACAGAAGTTTAAAATACAGGAAGTTCTCAGACCTCTGGAAATGACCAAATTAAGACAGGATCCTCTGAGCTACTTTTTCAGCTAAGCCTCATCCTTAAAGAGTCCAGCTGTAGCAAGAATCCTGCTCAAATGATTTAGCAAGACTCTCCCACTTCCCTACGTAGCTGGTCAGATTTCCTCATCTCCTACTTTCCCACAGGTGATGTCTGATCAGCCTGAACTGCTTTCAGCAAGAATCTTGTCGGATGTTTCCTCTTAGTAATTTTCCATCCACTGATCCCTCCCCATTCCTTGACTACGAATCCCCACATTATATTTGGAATTGAGACCAATTCTCTACTGAGGTCTTTCTACTGCAGTAGCTCCTATTTTTATGTTATAACAACCATTTAGCTCTGCTTTTCTCTGCCAGAATACAAGTTTCTTTAGAATCGATATTTGGGCCCAAAATAACAGCACCAGAAAAAATCAAGTTTCAATGTCTGACAAACAAAGTCAAACCTAATAAACACATCAAGTGAATTTTAAAATCACAATATAACTCATGGAAACAGGATGATTTTAAAAGTGAGCTGTGCAGAGCTATTATAGACAGCTAAGTTAGGTAGAAATATTATAGGCAGTCAGACAGGGCTGGGCTCTTGTGGGAGTCAGCGTAGGGGATGAGAACACATTACAACTGTGGCTGGAGGAGCATCTGTTGAAGGCCAGGCCTCAAGATAAAGATTGAATGACCAGGTCTACTTGCCTCCCCTAGAGATAATATATTATAACTGGTATCACCTGGTCCAATAAAATCTAGATAGACATCAGTCACCCAGCACCTCCTGACTCATCTCTTCTAAGACAGATCCTTGTTCCTTCCATGGGCACTTGCTATGTAACTTGCTCCCATATTGGATCAACATTACCTAAGCAGCTATACTTGTAATCTTATTGGTCCTATGTTGTCCCACCTGGTGACTTTGTACCCATCTGGTAATTTTGCTCTTTATTACACTTCCTCTGGAAAGTGGGGTCAAAGGCAACCCATTTTCAGGTCCCCTCCTGCATCTCAGAGGTGTACTTTCTCAATAAATATTTCCTACTTATAACCTCTGTTGTTCCTTAGAATTCACTCTTTGATTAATATTTCCCCTATATCATTTGGAGGTCCTATATCATAGCCATGTTCCTTTTTTAGAAGGAGGGCTAAGGCTGAGAAATATTATGACTGAGAAAGATGATACCCTTGAAACCTAGGGACCTGGAGTGAAAATACAGTACATGGAGCTCTAGCCTATGGCTGTCTACTCAAAAGAAAGCAACAATCATAGCTTCTATTGGATGGAGATCTGATTTCATCAGAGGCTCAGGACATCTGATGGTGTTAATAAGCACCTGTCTAAATTAAGAGCTTTCATTCTTTGTCACCTTCTAGCTAATCTTTTCCCCCAAATTACTAACGTTCTTTATTTAGGTAGAATGTCGCTGATCATGCCTCTAAATGTGTCCTGTGTGAGGGCTTGCCAGGATAAAGAACTGGAAGAGGAAAAGGAAGTATTAGCCACTAATCCGGATCATTTGGGGAATCTGCTGCTGGGTGGCCCAGCTCATGTGGCAGGAATGGACTTATTGCTTTGTTCTGATTTGGTTCTCTGGTGTGATCTGTCTTAACAGCTATGGATCCCCTTGCCAAGCTCCTGAGTAAAGACTGTGAAGATTTTTATCTACTGGGATTTTCGTTCATAACCAAATGGAAGATGTAAATCTCGATATTTAACTCATTTATAAATGGAAGCTGTAACATGTGTTACAATTTTTATGGATGATAATTTGACAATATATGCCTGCCATATAATCAGAATGTCAATGTATTTTTTAATGAACTAATGAATTATTAAAATGTGCTTTCCCTTTGGTCTAGTAATTCCATCTCTAAAATGTATACTAAGGAATAACCAGACAAACTGAAAAATGCAAAATAATAAAATGGAAGCATCTAAATCTAAAACAATTACTTTATGGTAGCTTGATAAAAATGAGTGTAATTTTTGTGTTAACTATAAAACATCCATAATATATTTCTCAATGAATAAAGAAAGCCTGAACCTGTTTTAAGGAGAAGTGTTTTTATACACATTATGAAACCCTTAACTGAAACCTTGGACCAGGTTGAGAATTTGTAATTTTCCAGTTTCAAAAGCTAATGCAATACACAGAGCATACGAGCATATATCTGCCAAATCCCCAATGGGCTGTCAGGTGCTATCCCGTGTTTCTGCAAAGAAAAAAAATACACACACTGAATGGAATAATAAAGACTAAAAATGGCCTCACATCAATTCAGCTCAGGTTTTGCCAATGGGTTTGCATCAAACTTAGGAAATTTTATTTTTTATTGTAGCCTTTTTTAAAAGCTTAGAAAAATACATACACCAAAATCATTTAATGTAAACTAGCAATTATTTCTGGGTATTAGAATTATTAATGTTACCCTCATCTTCTAAACCACTGGTAACCCCCTACATATTTTTTTTTCTTTTTCTTTTTCTTTTTTTTAACTACACATTTTTTAAAAGCCAACTTTCAGAAAACCAAATGTACCATAAAAACTCTGGAAAGACCTCAGCAAAGACTATTTGCCTCTGGAATACAACTACACAGTACATAAAGCTGAGTAAGACTGCAGAGGCTTAGAAGTCAGCAGGCTATTTCTGATGGAGTGCCAGGCCTTCATATCAGATTGCTGATTAAACACATTCAGCCACAAAAAGTACTGAAGGAGAGATTCTCAAACCTTCAGAGCTAGTTTAACCTGATATTTCACTTATTCCACCGGAGTGAAGTCTAGTTTATCCCACTTTCAAGCAGCCAGTATCTCAACTCTTCACATATTCTGGATTTACCAGTCAAGTTTACATTCTACCCAAACTGCAACTCAAGGTTAAGAAAAAAGTGTGGATGCCATCTACCTCCACACATGGCATGACAGGCTTTTAACTCTTCTCAGATCCAATGTCATTCAGATTATAATTGATGTATACGTATTCCAGATGTTTATCACAGAATTACAGGACCCAAGGGGCTGGGGATTTAGCTCAGCGGCAAAGCGCCTGCCTGGCAAGCGCAACGTCGTGAGTTCGGTTCCCGGTACCGGAGGAAAAAAAAAAAAAAAAAATTGGTATTAAGAATTACAGGACCCAGGGGCTGGGGATTTAGCTCAGCGGCAAAAGCGCCTGCCTGGCAAGCGCAACGTCGTGAGTTCGGTTCCCGGTACCGGAGGAAAACCAAAAAAAAAAAAAGAATTACAGGACCCAAATATGTATGTGCTCTCCATGTTTGCCAAAGTTCAGTGGAAAAAAAAAAAAAAAAAAAAAAAAAAATTTGGAAGTGAAGACAAAAGCATGCCCAGACCATCCAAATTCCATTATATTATAAAAATGTTATCACTGCATTGAATGAGAAATTAGTATCTAATTCATTACACAGTAACATTCATCACTGTATTAAAAAGCGCCCACCAATTTTACTGAATTGCAAGTTACTATGAGGTTACTAGCTTATATTAAAGATTATTTATTTAAAAAAAAAAACACAACATGTATCACTTCATCATAGGCGGCTTTAAAGGGTAGCAACAACACCCTTTTTGTCAAGATCCACCAAAAGAGGAACTCCACCTCCTGTTTACACCAACACTGACCCAATTGTTTTTATGTCATAGACAGTGGCTTGTATATTTCACACATTTTTGTGCCACTTGCTACAGAATTTAGCTCTAAATTTGTGACTCATTCTCAGAGTACATGATAGCTAACTCATTAAAATGTATTTTCACCCTTAGTCCTGATTTTACTTCTCTCAATCACTTCTCAGGCTTTTGGCTAAGATCAAGTGTGCATTTACTTTTCTGCCTTATTTTAGACTCATATTCTTTCATCGCAGTTTAGAAATCTATTTTGTAAGTAATGCACAATATATCGTTTGACATTTTTGACACTTTGTTACTATTTTTGGGCACTTTTCTAATCATTACCTGACATATTATATACTTACTTATGTATTTATTGTCTGTGTCCCCATCACACCCATAGAAGAATATAAACAGAAAAAGACTGAAAATATACCAATATACTGTATTTAAATATCAATAATCATTGCCTCAGAAATATGCAACTGACAGTTTAATTTTTACTGTATTTTTTAAATTTGATATAATCAATAGATATTATTTTACAACAAAAAATATTTATGATCCAAACGTGATAAAAGTTCATTATTATTAAAATCTTGAAGATCCTGTTGATTTACTGTAAATAAATGTAAAATAACAAACCACTGGTAAGCAAAAGAGATTGTGTACCTTCACTGCTACATGAAGTTTTGCAGTTTTCTTGGATGGTCCTGAGGCTTCATATGTTGTGCCATCCACATCTACAGACATTGTGAAGACTGGAGCATGGACAGGGCCAGACTGAGACAAGAGCTTATACTGAAGCCCGGGCCTGATCTGATTGAGCCTCATTAGTGCATTCATAAGGTCTATTGCTTTACTATCTAGAACTGTTAACGAAAGAGAAATGAGATGAGAGGTTAGCTAGAAAGCCATTTTGCTTTAATCTATGCATTTGTAGGTTGCTAGTAACCATTATAAATTCACCAAGTATTAAAAAATGAGAATTTCAAAAGACACATATAAATTAACTTCATAAATAGTTCTAAAATAACTCAATTATCATATTGACATAATTATAAAAACATGCAAAAAAATAAAAATAATATGCATTACTATATATACATTAATTTCCACTTGTCAGTACTAGTCTACCTTAAACAATGAAGCTTGGAAAGAAAAGTTGTTTAAGTATCAATTTCTCAGTTAAGATTTATTCCTAAACTTCTAATTCAATTCAACCAAATTCTTCACTATTTTCTTATCTGAGGCTACAAATCCTCTCTAGTTCACAGCAAAAAGAATAAAGATTTTACACACTTTTCCTTAAGTTTCGTTTCATCTTCTTATTGGGATCTTTATCATCCCCTAATCCATCTTCAAATGGCCTCTTCAGAGCTGAAGAGCCAGCACCTAAAAAAATGAGAATGTCACTGTCAGTCAAAACAATGACTGCATTTACTCTAATGCATTTAGGTAGGAAAATCTCAGAATCACACACAAGGACTTTCACTGATAATTAAACTCATAATCTAAAAAAGCAAAATGTTTAGATGTAAATCTTCTTAAATAATGTAATGTCACTTTTTAAAATATTTATTTTCCCATTCGTTCATATATACACACACAACTATCTACACATATGCAATGGTCTGAATGTTTCCATCCTCCCCAAATTCCTGTGTTGAAACTTAATCCCACATAAAGCACTGCTGGAAAGAGCATGTAGGCGGTGACAACACGCTTGACAGCACGTTTATAAAAGAAGACTGAGAGCTGTTTCTCTGTTCCACCATGTGAAGACACATAGCAGGTGCCATCTGGAAAGAACAGACCCTAATCTTTACCAGACACCAAGTCTGCTGGAGGCTTCATCTTGGACTTCCACCCTTCAGAACTGGGGGTAATATATTTCTATTGTTTACAAACTGTATAGTCTATTTTTAGTGTGAGTTCAAGACCAGCCTGAACTACATAGTGAGACCCTGTCTCAAAAGAAAGAAAAAATAGAAAAGGTCTGCAAAGCTATGTTTTAAAAAAAGTAGTTACCTCTGATAGAATTTATTTTCACTTATATCTTCTCAAGTATTTTTAAAATTTATACAATTTAAATAAGTATTTACATCATAACTGCACATTTTAAAAGTCAACATAGTAAATCAATCTTATGCTTTCAGAAGTCCAATTATAAAATTATAAAATATTCTTCAGCCTCTTCAAATCCTATTCAAGATTTACAGTTGCCCTTCACCATAAAGCCTTTCTCTCACATCAACTTTTAAACAGAATGACTATGGTACGGTACCAGAAATAATCTTTGTTATCGTTTAGATCTAAAATGTCCTCCAAAAATCTCATGGGTTCAGAAGGTAACTGGATCTTGAGGGGGCTGCTCAATTCATCGGTGGATTAATCCACTGACAACTTCCCATCTCAGTGTGCTGTTAGGAGATGTGACCAAATTGTACAAGGGGTGCCCTAGGAGCGTGCCGTCAGAGGGCTCTCTGCTTCCTAGCCACCATGGGTTGAGAAACTTTCCTCCACCAGGTTTTTCTGCCTTGGAGCCTGCCAATCACAGACTGAACCCTCTGAAAAGGTAAGTCAAAACAAACCTCTCCTCAAGTTATGCATACAAGGTATTTTGTCCCAGCAACAGTAAAGTGAGTAATAAAGTCTTATATCCTTGTTGCTTTTATATATATTTTTTTATTCCTGGATGTCCTTAAACTGATCTTCAAAGGCCAAAGACATTTTCTCCTTGTCTTCTATCTTACACAAAAAACTCAGAAATAATACCATAATGGGTATGGAATCAAGGCAGCAGCTTTGGTGTCCAAGTTTTTTAAAAATCAGAGAAGCGTATCAAATGTCCAAGTATGTTAAGTAATTCCCTGTCTTCAACTTAACAGTTGGTTGTTACATTGTCTCTAAATATATGCTCAAGATATTCATGCTCAAAATATGCTATGCTCATACTGTGCTCAAGATATTCATACTACAAGGCTTTCAGATAGTTCTAGTGAAATTTTGTAATAACACTAAGGTACATATTTCTGACCATCAAGGTTTATTATTGCCCTTGGGGTAAACACTGACTTCAGCATTTGCTTTGGGTCAATATTTACCACTCAGGTCAATCGCTCAATCAATTTTGATGTTCTCTTCAAGAGAATGTGGTAGCGTCTGCTTAGTATTACATTTCACTTGCATTATATAAAACTCTTGAGTTTGCCCATCTCCCAGAATGCAGTCTTTAAGAGATAAAAGTTAAAAAGGAACACTATCTATTCAATTACTCTCCTACTCATTAAGTTATATTAAAAGCAGTTCCCTGATTTACTGGAAATCACAAGCTGGTAAATGCACAGATCTACTCTCTAAGTCCTCCAGCTACACAAATATAGATCTATGTTTTAAGTTTAATTATCAATGTAGCCCTGGAAAATGGCTTAAAAATCTAAGGTAGTAAAAACAACAGGAAAAATGGGCTGGCTTTACAAAGCAAGGTAGTTTTTCACCTTTATAGTATCTAGTAATGAAAAATGATAATTTCTGAGGCAAATAATTATTTAAATAATATTTGAGTTCTTACTATATGCCCAGCACTACTCTTAATACTTTACATGTATAAACTTATTTAATCCTCATGAGCACCTTATAACTTTATCATGCCCATGATAAAATTCCTCATGTATTCATTTAACAACAAATATTTGAGTATTTACCACAAACAAGAGAATTTTAGGTGCTGAACAGAGTAATGTTTTCATTGTAGAGGTCTTTCACTTCCTTGATTAGAGTAATTCTTAAATTTCTTTTTTCTTGATGTTATTGCGAAAGTGATTCTTCCCTAATCTTTCTCTTAATGAGTTTGTTATTGATGTACATGAACACTATGGATTTCTGAATGTTTACTTTCTATCCTGCTACTGAATTTGATGATTAATTCTAGAAGTCTTTTGGTGGAGATTTTGGGGTCTTCTATATAGAGGACCACGTCATCTATAAATAATGATAATTTAACTTACTCCTTTTCTATTCATATCTTATTTCTTTCTCTTCCCTAATTGCTCAGCCTCATGTTTCAGGAGCTATACTGAACAGAAGTAGTGATAGTGGACATCGTTGGCTTATCCCTGACTGTAGGGGGAAAGCTTCCCACTCGATGATCAGGGAACTGAGCATGTAGATGGAGCGTTTCCAGTGACTGGGATGGGGCTGCTACGTAGGAGCAGAACAGAGGCAGAGACTGCCTGCGGTTTAGGTTGGGTCTTAGGTGTGAGACGCAGTATGCAGCCATGTGCATATGCTGGAGGCCTTCTGAGTTGAAGGCCTAGAATCTCTGATGCAGAGAAGAAATTTCAAGATAGAGGAGACTAAATGAGTTAGTAAAAGTAAGGAGGAAAAGTCTAAGACCTAGACCCTGGGACACTATAATATTTAGAAGTCAGGAAGATGAGGAGGAACGAAGATAACCGAGGAGATGGTAGTGGCCACAAAAACCAAGAAAAAAATGATGACCTGGAGGTCAAATGAAAAACTGTATTTCATGTCTGAAAAAGCACGTGCTGGATACCAAACAATGCTGTGAATGCAGGACAACAAGAGCTCCCATACAGTGCTGGTGGGAGGATAAACTGGTATATTCAACAAATTACTAGGTCATTTACTGACCTACAATAACTCCAAGACACATATCTCAGAAGCATGTAAAAAAAGACTTGCACTAAGCCAAGCAGGGGCACTGCCCTGTAAATTCCAGCACTATGAAAGATTGACACAGAAGGATCTAAGATTTACCTAGTCTGGGCAAATTAGTGAAATATGGTCTCAAAATGGGC